AGAAGTTTCCAAGCTGAGCCATGCTGGCTTAGGATTTCTGGGAGTTGAAGTCCACAAGTCATGAAGGGGCCAAAGTTTCCCCCATGCTGGCTCAGGAATTCTGGGAGTTGAAGTCCATGAGTCATAAAAGAGCCAAGGTTGCCTACCCCTGTACTAGGCTTTGGTCACTGACAGGTTTAATCTGCCACATACTAACCTTTATGCTCCCTAAACCCAACTCGTGTTCCTATCCCTCCTTTTAGATTCCATTTAGACATCTGATTTTATATATGCTCTCTTTCTTTTGGCTGTTTATAATAATCATTATTCTTAGACTTTGTTTTCTGTGTTTTATAACTAAACGTAACCCCACAATCCTTATGATGGTCTTTCGCCGTAATAAAGATTTGATTTGATTTTGTCAGTTTATATATAATACTTTTTTTTCCCCTAGTGGGTCACATTGCATATGAATTCTTTGCAGAAAGACACCCAACAATCTGGACCAGGCCAAGGGTGTGGAGGAACTGGGAGGTCTTTAAGCTCCAGGCGGTTTCAAACATTTTCTCTTTCTTTGTCAAGGAGCCATTCTACATTTTCCTCTTTTTTTATTCCCCTTCCCTGCTTAAAGTCATATTTTACAACATTAGAGTTTCAGAGCTGTGAGCTACCCTGCACATTTACTGGAGATCCTGAGGGCGGGGCGCCTCTCCCAAAGTTTGTTTTTGTTACACTTTAAATTATAAGAAATGCAGCAGGGGTGGGGTTGCCCTCCAGGAGGAATGAAGAAAGGTAGCATCAGCTGGAGGTAAGACACGGACGGAGGGAGATGGAGAGTGGAAGGATTCTTATGTGCTTTTGTGACTTTGAAGTTCTGGGATTTGTGCAATGTGGGCTTTGTGTTCTTAAGGAATGTTTGGCAATTTCTATTTGGCTGATGGCTGATGTCTCCTGTTAGCTTCTATTGCTCTGCTATTGTTAGCTGTAAGTTTTGCTGCAAGGGATTTTGAAGTATTTTTCTCCTGAATGGATTTTGCCTGTAGCATTCCTTTACTTATGAATGGAGCCATTTGGGGAGGCTGCCGTAGCCGGCAGCCAATACTTACTACATTTTTTTTCTTCCTTAAGTGCGCTCATTAACTTTCCTTTCTAGCCAGTAGCTAATTCTTAAAGGGGAATGTGCCTTTTTAAGCTAGTTCCCTCAGCAGCTTCATTTTTCTGTCTCTGGAGGCTTTTCCTTGTTTGATGAATATATGGAAGAGGGAAAATATGGGGGGGGGGTGTTCAAATTCTTCCTTCAGAAGGAGGTGGCCATGAGAAAGAGGGATGCAGGGAAGGAGGGAGGGAGGGAAGGAAGGAAGTCCCGCCTTAGCACTTGGCCATTAGCAGCCCTGCCATTGGCTTTGCTTGTCAAAAGGTTGCAAAAAGGGATCATATGACCCTGGAACACTGTAATCATCATAAATGTGAAGCAGTTGCCAAGCATCCAAATATAAATTACATGACCATGGGCATGCTGCAATAGTCATAAGTGTGAAAAATGGTCATAAGTCATTTCAGTGCAATTGCAACTTTGACAGGTTTTTTGTTTTTTTTGGTCATCAAGTTTTTGACACCTTGCTAGGTGGTACTCAAATATTGCCATAGCCCAGTGGTTCTCAACCTTTTTAATGCCGCGACCCCAACCGGTCGTAAGTCGAGGACTAAACCAGTCGTAAGTCGAGGACTACCCAACCGGTCGTAAGTCGAGGACTTTCCCTGCCCGGGAGTGACGCGCATGCATGGTTCCGCCCCCTGCTTAGGCCGAGGCATAGCTGGCAAGCGGCAGAGACGGAGCAGGCCGACCACCAGCTGGCCCAGCCCAAGGGAGGTAAGGCACCCGCCGGAAAAGGGGGAAAAAATGGCGGACAAAAAAAATGGTGGACAGCCTTGCTTGGCGACCCCCGTGAAATGGTCGATCGACCCCAAATGGGGTCCCGACCCACAGGTTGAGAACCACTGCCATAGCCTAAAAGTGGTACAGTCGGTGAAAAGGTTGAAAAGCCCTGGACTAGATGACCTCCAATGTCCCTTCCAACTTTATTGTTGTTGTTGTTATTATTATTATTATTATTATTATTATTATTATTATTATTATTATTATTATTATTATTATTATTATTATTTTGGATGGAACCTTGTAAGGGTAGGCAAGGTGGATGGTATGACGTGTGTGAGTTCCGGCACTTTTTTTTTTTTTTTTTTACAAAAAAAGCACTGCTGAAATCTAACTCCTTTGGAAACTGGGAAGGCTGCTGGTAGCAATTCTCCCCTCTAGTAAGATTCAGGCTCCTCAATAATACAGACAGGATGATCACATGTATCTCCTATCTAGATGTGCTTCAGACAGAATGCTGGTGGACATTTCCAGGTTTGTCGCATGTCTGATTATTAATAGGATGAAGCTGGCAATCATTTAGGGCTTCACACACAAACAAGTCGTTCATGAACGTTTTGGGGTCAGCTGACCCCGGCTAATCTTGTGAAGCTAAATAGGGACAAGCTTCATTCTTCAAGTATCCCTCAGTAGGTTTTGAGAGGTTGCACCCCCCAAAAATCAATAAATGGCTAGAACAATCTTCACCAATCCCCAAGAGAGGCATATTTTTTTCTCTGCCTGTTTGCACATAGTTTTCCCCCTCAAGGATTCTTTCCCTTGGCTTAGTGCCCGCTTTTGGTAAAATAGCAGCTGGTTCAGTTGCAATGGCCATATGAATAATCCCTGGGAAACTCAAAAGAACCGGTTAGGGATCGATCATCGGTAGTTGAATTGAAGGCACATAGGCAAGAAAAACCAAATGTACAGGTATAGTATAGGGGGTACCTTGCTCAATAGTAGTAACTGTGAGAGGGACTTCGGAGTCCTAGTGGACAATCACTTAAATATNTGTGTGTGTGTGTATAGTGGGGTAGATTTGTAGGATGCTTTTTCCTTATGCAGCTTACATGCTAACAGTCTTGTTTTCCCATCAGAAATGTTCCGTAAATTCCATAAATCCCACTTCTACAATTGATGTCAAAATTAATTACAGTAAATTCTGCAGGCTTTGAATATTTCTTATACAAGTGGTCCTCACTGAACAATTGTCTGCTTAATGACTGTTTGAAGTTAGAATGGCACTGGAAAAAAAAATAACTTTGTAGCCTGTCTTCAAACTTTACAACTATTGCAAATGTCCTTGCGATCATCACGCGATTGCGGTTCACAGGCGCTTCACAATTGGCAGGCGTTTACCACAATTACAGTGTCCCGCAGAGATGCGATTGCCATTTGCGCACTTCACGGCGAGCTTGCAACAGAGTCGATGAAAAAAGCCAGCGGTAAAATTGCAAACTGCAGTCGCGGTAATATTTCATTTAGCAACTGCAGGGGATTCGCTTAGCACAGGGGTAGGCAACCTTGGCTCTTTTATGACTCGTGGACTTCAACTCCCAGAATTCCTGAGCCAGCCATGCTGAGGGGAAAGGGAGAGGTTTCCAAGCTGAGCTATGCTGACTCTGGAATTCTGGGAGTTGAAGTCCACGAGTCATGAAAGAGCCAAGGTTGCCTACCCCTGGCTTAGCAACTGCAACCGGTTATGAAGGCATTAAAATCGGACAAGCGTGTTTTTTTCAGCCTCATGTCGCTGGATGGCGCTCTAAAGATCAGCAACACCGGCGCCTAGATCGGCGGCTTCTAAGGAAGAGCATTAAAGTATTGGATTGCTAGAGAGGATTTGGAGAAGGGCAGGGGAACTTCCTCTTCAGGTCCCCCCCCCCAGGATGGTGTCGTAGAGGGCTGTTCTCGTGCTGTTCCCGGGATCTATGCAGCCGCTGGAAGGTGAGTTGTGGGCAGGTCGGAGGCGAAGCCGGGAGCAAGTAGTGGGGCTGCTCGGTTTCCTCCGCGGGGTGGAAGCAGCGAAGCAACGAGGCTGAAACATTCTCAGCTTCTACATATTCATGCCCTCCNTGTGTGTGTGTGTATAGTGGGGTAGATTTGTAGGATGCTTTTTCCTTATGCAGCTTACATGCTAACAGTCTTGTTTTCCCATCAGAAATGTTCCGTAAATTCCATAAATCCCACTTCTACAATTGATGTCAAAATTAATTACAGTAAATTCTGCAGGCTTTGAATATTTCTTATACAAGTGGTCCTCACTGAACAATTGCCTGCTTAATGACTGTTTGAAGTTAGAATGGCACTGGGGGAAAAAAATAACTTTGTAGCCTGTCTTCAAACTTTACAACTATTGCAAATGTCCTTGCGATCATCAAGCGATTGCGGTTCACAGGCGCTTCACAATTGGCAGGCGTTTACCACAATTACAGTGTCCCGCAGAGATGCGATTGCCATTTGCGCACTTCACGGCGAGCTTGCAACAGAGTCGATGAAAAAAGCCAGCGGTAAAATTGCACACTGCAGTCGCGGTAATATTTCATTTAGCAATTGCAGGGGATTCGCTTAGCAACTGCAACCGGTTATGAAGGCATTAAAATCGGACAAGCGTGTTTTTTTCAGCCTCAGGTCGCTAGATGGCGCTCTAAAGATCAGCAACACCGGCGCCTAGAAAGCCGCCGATATAAGCGGCGGCTTCTAAGGAAGAGCATTAAAGTATTGGATTGCTAGAGAGGATTTGGAGAAGGGCAGGGGAACTTCCTCTTCAGGTCCCCCCCCCCAAGAGGATGGTGTCGTAGAGGGCTGTTCTCGTGCTGTTCCCGGGATCTATGCAGCCGCTGGAAGGTGAGTTGTGGGCAGGTCGGAGGCGAAGCCGGGAGCAAGTAGTGGGGCTGCTCGGTTTCCTCCGATCGGACAAGCGTGTTTTTTTCAGCCTCAGGTCGCTAGATGGCGCTCTAAAGATCAGCAACACCGGCGCCTAGAAAGCCGCCGATATAAGCGGCGGCTTCTAAGGAAGAGCATTAAAGTATTGGATTGCTAGAGAGGATTTGGAGAAGGGCAGGGGAACTTCCTCTTCAGGTCCCCCCCCCCCAAGAGGATGGTGTCGTAGAGGGCTGTTCTCGTGCTGTTCCCGGGATCTATGCAGCCGCTGGAAGGTGAGTTGTGGGCAGGTCGGAGGCGAAGCCGGGAGCAAGTAGTGGGGCTGCTCGGTTTCCTCCGCGGGGTGGAAGCAGCGAAGCAACGAGGCTGAAACATTCTCAGCTTCTACATATTCATGCCCTCCCCAAACTTTGTTCCAGTGGTGCTGCATGATTTAAAAGTTGTTGCTGTTCAGTTGCTAACTCGTGTCTGACTCTTCGCGACCCCATGGACTCCATAGCATGCCGGGGGTGGGTGGGGCGCGAGTCTGCCCAAATTCATGTTCATTGCATCGAAGACACTATCAGTGTTTCTCAACCTTGACAATTTTAAGTCATGTGGACTTCAACTCCCAGAATTCCACAGCCAGCAATGCTGGCTGTGGAATTCTGGGAGTTGAAGTCCACATGCCTTAAAATTGTCAAGGTTGAGAAACACAGCTAGCTATCTCATCCTCTCCCGTCCGCTTCTCCTTTTGCCTTCCGTCTTTCCCAACATCGGGGTCTTTTCCAAGGAGTCCTCTCTGCTCGTTAGGTGGCCAAAGTATTTGAGCTTCAGCTTCAATATCTGTCCTTCCAAAGGACAGTCAGGGTTGATTTCCTTTAGGATCGACTGATCCGATCTCCTCGCAGTTCTAGGGAGACTCAAGAATATTCTCCAGCACCACAATGTGAAAGCATCAATTCTTCAGCACTCAGCCTTCCTTATGGCATTTTAAAATTGCTGCCTTCAACTTTCTGCTGGTTGGGAGATTTTAAATTTCTGCTTTACCTTGTGCTTTTTTAAAAAAAAAAAATCAGTGTGTTATTTTCATGGGCAAAACTGGTGCTTTAAATCTTGCAGAGGCTTTGGGCACCATTTCTTCTGTTAAAGGCCCACCCCAATTAGACCAAAAAGGTTTGAGTGTACCCACAGTTGGGACATATGTCAGGTTGAAATGCACATAGACTTTTGACCTGCATTCATTTATAGGTGTATCCAAATGAAACCATGCATTCATGTATAGGTGTATCCACATTTCTCTTTATGTGAATATATTTGTATTTGTGTAACCTTTGCTCAGCATTTCCAGTTTGATTTCATATTAACATTTTTTAATGTAAGAATTTGTGATTTACTGAAGTCCAAAAGAGAATTTCATAATTGAGTGGATATTTGAACTTGGATCTTGCTAGTCTTCTATGTGTAAAATGAATCAAAATGTTAGAGATTAGATTGACTTTTGATTGTAATATATCGTTTTTTTCTTGTTTTCTCATGTTGTGCACCCATTTTATATGCACCCATTAAACTAAGTGTTTTATGTGAATCTTGCAGACAATGAAGACACCAAGAAGGGCATTCTGACCAATTGAGAATCACAAGCAGCATTAAAAAACAAAGCAAATCTATCCTGCAATCAAAATGTATTCCGTTTCTTCAAGAAAACCACAAAAACTTTCTCCTTCCACAGCAAGTAACAGATAAAAGAGAGAATAACAGGAAGAGAGTTTTGTGCTGGAAATAATTGATGATGTGAAACTCAAACCACTCTACAAAAGATCAGAGTGGATCGTTTCTAAATTCAGAAAAAGAAGGAAATATCTAGAAATCAGTGGAGAGGAAGGAGTTACTTGTGTAGCCACGTAGGTCACATAATCATGGAAGCCCCGTGCTGTGAAGAAAGGAAGAGTAGCTTGATTCAAAACAGCATCCAAGAAGGGATCCAAAATATTTTTGACCTTCAGAATCCAGGAATATCATTGGTGGAAAAGCACCACAGGTGTGCATATTGTGGGGAAAAGACAGATTGCAGATCAGAGTTGATTATGCATGAGAGGAACCATACTGAAGAAAAGTTCTCCCAGTGCCCTCAATGTGGCAAAAACTTTACAAAGCATGCTACTCTAGTGATACACAAGAGAAGTCAAATGGCGGAGAAGCTGTACGAGTGTCTGGATTGTGAGAAAAGTTACAGTAGTGATTCAAGCCTGTTGATACACCAGAAGACTCACACAAGAGAGAAACTGTATTTTTGCCCAGACTGTGGGAAAAGTTTCACTCGGAATTCCCACTTGGTGATACACCAGAGGACTCACACAGGAGAAAAACCGTATGAGTGTCCAGATTGTGGGAAAAGTTTCAGCCAGTATTGCCACCTGGTGATACACCAGAGGACTCACACGGGAGAGAAACCATATAAGTGTCTTGATTGTGGGAAAAGTTTCATTCAGAATTCCGACCTGGTGATACATAAGAGGATTCACACTGGGGAAAAACCATACGTGTGTCTGGATTGTGGGAAAAGTTTCAGTCGGAATTCCTACCTGGTGGTACACCATAGGACTCACACAGGGGAGAAACCGTATGAGTGTCTGGAATGTGGAAAGGCTTTCGGTCGAAATTCCGAGCTGATGATACACAAGAGGACTCACACTGGGGAGAAACCATATGAATGTCCGGATTGTGGGAAAAGCTTCAGTCAGAATTCCCACCTGGTGGTGCACCATAGAACTCATACAGGAGAGAAACCATATGAGTGTCCAGATTGTGGGAAAGGTTTCAGCACTAGGTGTAAACTTATAAATCATGTAGGTTTACACACAGGGGAGAAACCTTTTAAATGCCTAGAGTGTGGACGGTGTTTCACGCATCATTCTTGTCTTACTGCACACAAAAAAATTCATATGAGACAGAAGGTGACTGGTGTAGAGAAGGCTTAAATTTCATTTCTGATCTTCTATGGGAAATGCAGCTGAGAAATTAACTGTTTAATTTCTGGCCTGATTCCGCTTTAGTCAAAGGTGTCTCGGTATTAGATATGAGTGAGGAGGGAAAAGAATTGGAAAATGTTAGTTTGATAAAGACTAGCTACCTCTATATGGTTATCAGAAGATGTTAACGGATAGTTACTTTTCAAGAAATAGTACAATTGCTGCAATGAAATTTTGAGTGTTTTTTCAGTAATGATCATAGAAATGCTACATGCAGCATTTCAGCTTTCTATCTCAATGTGTTCCAAATTGCGAGCGCCAGAATTCCTCAGCCAGGATATCTCTTGAATAAAATATTTTAAAGTGATAGTCAACATTTCTGATTGGCCTCTGAAATCTGCTACAGGTGCTAAAAATACATTACAAAAAAAAAATCACAGCATTCCTATTTCCTTAGAGCAGTGTTTCTCAACCTTGACAATTTTAAGGCATGTGGACTTCAACTCCCAGAATTGCTGGCTGTGGAATTCTGGGAGTTGAAGTCCACATGCCTTAAAATTGTCAAGGTTGAGAAACACTGCCTTAGAGATTGGGAAACCTCAAATATGACAACAGGAATAAAAAGAGGTAAAGTACGTTCGAAGAAATTCAGTGCAAGGAGAATCTCTGCTCAAATTGTGGCTAGGATGAAGTGCAGAATGTAGAAGATCTGAGGGAAGTATCCAGCAATGACAAAAGCTCTGTAAAGTTTGATGGCTATTAAACATGATGGATAAGAAGTATATTGAGTTGTGGAGGAAAGGGGTTATGGTTTTGAGCATAGAATCTTCAAGGTTTATTAGCAACTCTTGGCTGTAATATTGTTTGCTTGGAGGGACTTGCTTGTTAGCTTTCTCCCACTGTTAATGAAAGATCAATTATTGTTGTGGAAAATATGGCTTAAACCTCTTGGTCACTTATAATAGCAATAGCACAGACTTATATATCGCTTCCAGGTGCTTTATAGTCCTCTCTAATGGTTTACAAAGTCAGCATATTGCCCCCAACTATCTGGTTCCTTATTTTACCGACCCCAGAAAGATGGAAGGCTGAGTCACCCTTGAACTAGTCAGGATCGAACTCCTGGCAGTGGGCAAAGTCAGCCTGCAATACTACACCGTAACCACTGCACAACCAGTGTATAATATACAGAAAGCAATTCTAAAGGCAAAAATGGAGAAAAGAAAAGCAGCCTTGTTTCCTTAAACAACAATCATGATGCTATCTTCATCCCCCTCAAAACAGATCATGGATCAGGGCAACAACCTTGGGAGGAAGTATTGAGTTGAAGTGTTTGAAGCAGGTGGAACTCAATGAGACATTACGGAAGAAAGCCAAAGTCCCCATTTCGGGAGGAAGGGGACCGTGGTTTGATTGAAAATGCCATTCAGCAGGGAATTGAGCAGCTCTTTGATCTTTTTTGAAAATCTAAGAAGATCCGTGGTGCAGAAGCCCCCCAAATGTTCATATTATGAGCTGCAGATTGCCAGCTGTTTATTCATGAGAGGATCTACACTGGAGGGAAAAAAACCCATGTAGATCAGTGTTTCTCAACCTTGACAATTTTAAGGCATGTGGACTTCAACTCCCAGAATTCCACAGCCAGCTGGCTGTGGAATTCTGGGAGTTGAAGTCCACATGCCTTAAAATTGTCAAGGTTGAGAAACACTGATGTAGATGCTCTTGAGTGTGGCAAAAGGTTTGGTCAAAAACAGCTCCCTGGTGGTTGACTGAAGGAGCCACCTTTGATATACAGATAAAAGAATTTCAGGTCCAGTGACAGACCTGGGAGCTCTAATAACTGCAGAGCATTTGGGGGAAGAGAGACTGGTGTCCAGAAGAGCCAGGTTGGTTAGGCTCCAAATAGCGTTGAGTTTTTGGAAGAAACGTTGCATGGAGTATTTCTGACTCTACAGCCAGTTCTGCTTCTTCTGGTTATTCCAATCCATTCTCCTCTTTTCAACCTTCACTTTTCTTCCAACAATTTGAATTCCATGACTGTCCTCGGGCACTGAATTGCTCTTGAGTCTCCCTCCTTCATTTTTTTTAAGTTTTCACTTTCCATAAATGTTACTTTTACATGTATGTAAATCATGGGGCACTTCAGAGCCTACTAACTCCACTCATGCAAATGGACGATGCTATTTTGACTTTTTTTTTTTAAAAAAAAGGGAGAGCAGAGGCCCCCAACGTGGAGGGGAACCACTGGGAGCACAAATTTGTGTTTGGATCAATCCTTTTGAATTGAAAACTGCTCAATAAAAGTTTTAACGCCAGGGATTATTTTTTTTCCCGCACCTGCTCTCAGTTATCAAGCTACTGGGTTAAAGGAACCCCCTTGACACAGGATCCAGGGAAAAGAAAAGATGAACATTCAGGTGAAAATGTTAGAATATGATACGTAGAAATCCTACTATGCTGTATTGTTCTTCCTATTTTACAGCGTGCTTTCTGTGGGATTACAGGGCACGCTGCCCAAAGTTCTCTCCAGTCAAAGCAGTCACAAGTTGAAACAGACGGACGGACGGATAGATAGATGGATAGATGGATAGATAGATGATTAGATAGATGATTAGATAGAGGGATAGATAGATGATTAGATAGATTAGATGGATAGATGATTAGATAGATAATGATTGGATGGTGGATAGGGATAGATGGATAGATAGATGATTAGATAGATAATGATTGGATGGTGGATAGGGATAGATGGATAGATAGATGATTAGATAGATGGATAGATTAGATAGATGGATAGATAGATTAGATAGATGGATAGATGATTAGATAGATTAGATAGAGGGATAGATAGATGATTAGATAGATGATTAGATGGATAGATGATTAGAGATAGATGATTAGATAGATAATGATTAGATGGATGGATAGGGATAGATGGATAGATGATTAGATAG